CCTGAAACTCTAAGTGGCCAGACCCCTCGCCCAGTCTGGCCTGCTGGTCCTCTTGGCTGGTGATATCTCCCTGCCCAGAGCCACTCCCCACACTTTGCTGGTCCCAGCTGTTCACCACACCCAGCTGTAGGCTGTGCTGCCTTGTCAGTCTCCAGCTCCTTGTGTTGCTTCTCTGTCCCTTTTGGCTTCTCTGAGCACTGCCAGCTGCCAGTCTCTGACAGGGTCTGCGCTCCTTGAGGTGTGTGTGCCTGGCTCTGTTGCTGCAAAACTGCCCCTCAGCACAGCTTGCACTCCTTGGGCTCTCTGTGCCTGGCTCTGTTGCTGCAGGACTTCTTGTCCACACAGCTTGCTCCTCTTAGCTGTCTCTCAGCTCTCTCCTTGCTCAGAGAGACCCAGAACAATCCCAGCTCACAGGGAGGACGGGGCCTGGCCTCTCACTTTCCTCACTGGCCTGTCCAACCTGTCAGTCAGGCTGAACTGGAGTGTTGACTGCTTTCCATTGTCTCTGGGGTCTGTCAGTCTCATGGACCCTTCCCCTTTTGACACTGAGAGCTGGCAAACCAAAAACTCCCACAGAGTTTTAGTAAGGGGCTAACAGTCCCCTTACACTAAGAAACTCTTCATCATTATATTCATACCTTTTGCCAAAGCACAGGGCACAGACGACATTTGCAACAATGCAGGTGGTAATACTAGTGGGCTCAAAGGCACCTTTCGCTGAAGAAAGCTCCAAGAACCTTTTCACCAGCGCAGAAGCTTCTGCACAAACATGCTCTTCTAGAAGTCAAGAGCAAGTAGATACCTTGGCTTCTGACTTTGAAAAGGATCTTAAAGCTTTACTGGCAATTTTCTTGTGGAGTTTCCAGCTCTCCCCATATTCTACAGAAAATGTTAGCCTTTTTTCATCAGCAAAGAAAGAAAAGGTATGCATCTTGGGCCTGCCAGCAAAACTCTCTTCATCTCTTAGTAACACTTGTTTCGCCATCTCTAGACCATTCACTACCACAACAGGTACCATACCTAGCTTTAAGAGAGACACGTCCCCATATTTTTTCCTCATTTGGATAAATGAAAGGTGAGGATATTCTCCAAGCTGAAGCAGGTTCCCCACAATTGGTAGTGACCATGGACCTGGTGGGAAGATGTGCCTTTTGGTCTTATTACCTATTATGCTTATAGAAATTAAAACAAATGCCATAATAACAAGGGTGGCCATCACCTCTGAAAAGTACATCTTTGCTTCAAACAGCATTGCCAAAAGTGAAAGCACCTAAAAGAGAAAACAATGAAAGTTTTGTTTACTAGTATTCACTGAATAACAAAAAACAAAAACAACAACAAAACCCCTACATACTTAACATAAATGTAGACTTGAATAGAGATGGGAAATATAGCAATATATATTTGGAAGGGTTTGTTTGTTTGTGGATTTGTTTGTGCAAAATAAAGTCATACTTTGGGATCACCTATACAAACCAAAGGTGTCACTTAAATTAGCTGAATGTACTACTTTTTATGCCAGAATATGCCTGGTGAAAGGTTTTAATAGTTACTTTTGTTTTTCATCAGAAAAAAGTCATGACTAGTATGATGAGAGTTCAAAAAAATATTTGCTAACAAAATTAAAATCAGGTCACCTATTCAACTGTCATTTTAGTGCAAAGAACACTTTTACTGTTACAAATCACAAAATAATTCAAATTAGTTATGGAAAGAGTAATGGAAGTTTTACAGGTTTCTGATTCAAATTTACTATGTATGGTACTGTAATTAGTCAACAAAATGAATAATGTTTTAAGTTTAAATCCTACAAATTTTAACTTCCCTTTTGCAGGCACATTAATGAAAAAATTCTGTTACATGTAATTTCTTGAACTTTCCTATAAGTGTAATCTACGGAAAATGACTTTTCCAGGTCAACAATGGGCCTCACCTGCTAGTAGCAATATAAAATGAAACACTTCACACCAACTTTTTCTTACATTTAATAGACTTCTTTAATTGCATCTCAATATCTAATTTACAGGGAAGTAAAATCAGGTACTTTATTTTTATTTTATTTTATTTTTGCAACTTGGAGACAACAGAATTTGAGAGTAAAGTGAAAGTGTAATGTGTTAAATGTCCCAGTCAGGCCCTGACACACACATGAATATTTAACAGTTAATATGAGGTACATTAAATAGCCCCAACTTCTCCTTCTCCTATTCCCAACTAGGGCTGCCAGGTGTCCAGTATTGACCCAGACCGTCTGGTATTTTTGTCTCCTGTCCAGTAAAAAAAATCAGAAAATATTGGACACCTAAAATGTCCAGTATTTTCTGATTTTTTTCCCTGCCAGGAGGTGAAAATACCAGACACCTGGCAACCCTACGACACACTCAACAACGAGGCCTGGGCCCAGCCCCTGGGCCCTTCCTGGACCCCCCCAACCCTCCCAAGGTGCTCCCCTCCTTTCTCCCCCACCTCCTGCTTACCTGGTTCCACAGGGGAGCTCTCTTCCGGCAAAGAGTAAGAAAACAAGAAGGCCACCAACAAAAAAGGTCTTAAAGGGGCCATGCTGGGGGGGGTTTCTTGTTTGTTTTTTGTTGTTGTTGTTTTGGGGGGGTTTTGCTTAATAACTGTCGAGGTCCTTTTTTTTGGTTGTTGTTCAACAACTTTGGTCTTCCCCTTTTTTTTCTCAACAGTTTTTTTTGGGGGGAGAGGGGAAGTGTTTGGTGTTTTTGGTTAAACCATCTGGCAACCCTACTCCCAATCCACACAAAGTCTGAGGTAAATTCGAATGCAAATGTATCGAATTTGAAACAAAAAATATATGGGGGCTGGATTGCTGCTCTGAGACAGAGTCACGGTGTTTTCCATAATATGAACCCACTCTTCATACCATGATTCCTCTCCCTGTTTAGCTGGGATCTCAAGTATCTCTCCCCTGCTTCCATTTAGCAATGTAGGAGAGGTAGCTGGTCATCATCTGTGATCACAAGCCCCAGTTCAGGGTCCTTGCTTTAAAGTGGTGGTGTGCAACTCCTCTTTATCCCCCCATGTACCTCTTGCATGCTGGGACATTAGAGCCCCACACTTCCTCCTTCTCTGCCTCCCTCCCAGCACTTCTGGAGCACCACAAATCTGCTGATTCATACTCCATCTGGCTCCTCCCTCTCCCTCCTAGAGCTTAAATGCCATAAATCAGTTGTTTGTGACTGTTCGAGCTTTGGTAGAAAGCAAGGTGCTCCAAAAGTGCTGGGAGGGTGGGGAAGGAGCAGGAAGTGTGGGGCTCTAGTGCCCCAGTACATGAGAGACACAGAGGGGAGGGAGAAGACAGGAGGTCCATGAGCCGCAGGTGGAATCCCACTGGGTCCCAGGCTTTAGGTTGCCCATCACTAGTCATGCGGACCGCTGAGATGAAGGAGGATCACTCATGTGGCTCACTTACTATTCTTAAAACAAAAAACAGGACTGTGTAGCACTTTAAAGACTAACAAGATGGTTTATTAGGTGATGAGCTTTCGTGGGCCAGACCCACTTCCTCAGATCAAATAGTGGAAGAAAATTGTCACAGCCATATATACCAAAAGATACAATTTAAAAAAATGAACACATATGAAAAGGACAAATCAAATGTTTTAAAGCAATAGCTCAGTGGCAGAGAATAGGGACAGAAGGTATGTTCAGATGGCAGTGACAATTCCAGGAAGAGTTCTGCATAGCTCAGCCAGGATTGCTCTTAAGAGTCTAGATCACGGTATATTGTAGTAGACGATCTGCCTTATTAGACAGAACACAGCATAAGTTCCCATCCAGAGGAGGGGCAAAGTGACATCACTCTATTCATCCTGACTCTTCAAGAAAAGTAGTGTGAGCCATAGGCAGTGGCTGTGCTTCTCCAGCCAGAGTGTAGTTGGCCCTTGATCAGGGATGCAAGAGGAAGGGAATTTTTTTGTGGCATATCCCATCCTGCACATAAGGAGAAGCCAAAATCTGTCCCACAACTATTAGCTGCTCACTAGGACTGATCCTAAAGTAACACATGCTAAAGTATTCACTTGGCATCTTATCTGATGAAGATGTAGTAATTCATTTGCAGCACAAAGTTTGCCTAGAAGATAAGCACGCAGAACCCTTAGATGATATTTGCCTTATTTATTGCTATTTTAAATAAAAATGAAATTGTGAAGAAAAAAAAACATGGTGATTTAGACAGACATAAAACATTTTATATGATAATTTTCTATGTTATGCACCAAAATTCCTAAAGCTGGTGAATGCAGATATTCAAAACAGATTGAGCTACCTCCAACTTTGGTGAAATCCATAGAAAAAAATTGCTTGATTTCATAGAAATAGCTGAAAAATGGTAAAGTAAGAGTTAATATATTTGGATGTCTGGAATACTACAGTTTAGTTAAAAATCACAGCAATAAATTTAAAAACAAGAGGTTTGACCTTATCGTATGGACCTGAGTACACAACTTGGTATGTTAAATAAGACATTTAGCTGTACTAATTGAGAAGACTGAGAATGGGTCTGTGAATTAAAGGCAGTGTTAGTTTTTCCAGTGTCGCTGGAATTCCAGTGTCTTTTTAACAGGTGAAGCAAAATGGAGGACAATGTAGCACTTTAAAGACTAACAAGATGGTTTATTAGATGATGAGCTTTTGTGGGCCAGACCCACTTCCTCAGATCAAATAGTGGAAGAAAATTGTCACAACCATATATACCAAAGGATACAATTTAAAAAAATGGTGACCTTTGCCAGCAGTGGCTTTAATGCAGCAGTTCTCAAATTGTGGGTCAGGTTTGTGGATGGTTTTAATGGGATCACCAGAGATGGTGCAAAACTTGATGAGGTCCAGGGCTGAAACCCAAGCCCCATTGCCAGAGGCCAGAGTTCAAAGGCTTCAGCACTGAGTAGTATGGCTCAGGCTACAGGCCCCTCCACGTGGTGCTGAAGCCTTTGGATTTGGCCCCTTTGCCCAGCATGAAGGAGCCTTGCGTGGGCTTAAGTTTTGGTCTCCTCCCTCATGGGGTCATGGTACAATGAAGTTTGATCTAATGTCCCCCTTGCCCAGCATGAAGGAGCCTTGAGTGGGCTTAGGTTTTGGTCTCCTCCCTCATGGGGTCATGGTGCAATGAAGTTTGATCTAATGTATGGCAAAGGTTGAGTTTCAACCATCTTTTCATTTGTGGTTCATATCAGTTTGATGTAAGCGAAGCCCGGTGACTTCAAAGGCGAAGACATGGAGTTTCATGCACTTAATTTCATTATCTGAAGACTTATTTAACACCAAGAGCTTAACAATGATTATCCTGTTATCTGGTTTGGTTAGAGACCTTGTTATCTGGTTTGGTTCAAGTTTGCAGTTATGAGTCTGCTTTCGGTCTTACATACTTGAATGACAATGTGGTTAAGCATTGGGAGTTTTTGACAACCTACTTTAAAATCGTGATAGTTTTTTATGCTTTTAGGTGTCTCTTAGCAGCTCATTATCTATAATCTTCCTGTCCCTTTATTTGTGCTTGCCCAACTCATATGGAACCAACTCAAATACATCACACAAAAAAACCACATGGTCAGAAACCATTAGCATGCAGTTGGAAGAGGAGATACATCAGAACACAGCTGTAATAAGGCTGTTTAAGGGCAGCAGTTGCTTGTATCATTTTGCACACAAAAAGGAGCAGCAACACCTCAAAATAAGTTCTAGGGAAAAGTGCAACCCTGGGTCTATGTCTAGACTGCAAGCCTCTTTCGAAAGAGAGCGTCTAGACTGCACGTTGAACTTTCGAAAAAGCGGCTTGCTTTTTCGAAAGAAAGCATCCAGTGAGTCTGGATGCTCTCTTTTGAAGAAGCCCTATTTACATTGAAGAACGCCTTCTTTCGAAAGAGGAACTTTCGAAAGAAGGCGTTTTTCCTCGTGCAATGAGGTTTACCGCCATCGAAAGAAAAGCCGCGTTCTTTTGATTTAATTTCGAAAGAACGCGGCTTGAGTCTGGGCGCAGGGGAAGTGTTTTTGGAAAAAGGCTACTTTTCCCGAAAAAACCCCTGAATCTGGACATAGCCTGGGAGGGGAGATTTGGTAAGATCAAGGGCACAGAGGAATCAGCCTTTGTGGGTAACTGCCTCTATGGCTCTATCTGGTAACCTGATGCCTAATCCATTGTAGGCGAAGGAAAGATTCTCACAGATAAGTGGGACTAAATGACTACACTGAGGTACTGCCATTTCCCCACCCTCTCAAAAAATAGAGAATTGGAAAAAATGGGGCAGT